ACATTAGTTAAGTGTACGGGTAGTAAATTCCTCTGTCTCAAGAAATTGAGTAGGTGATTTGCAAAGCTTGTAGCTGTCAGAAACTACACAGCTATAGTTTGGCTTAAAAATAATTAAATACCAGACCAAAAATAGATCTAAAGCAGCACTTACTGTCGAGATACCTAAACCTCAATATGCAGGGATTCAATGCTAGCTGTATATTTAAAAAAAGGGGATTTATAGGAAATCCACCTTGTCCAGCAGTAAAGGTGGACCTGGGTGTTAGACAGGACAGATTGGCCCACATAGGAAAAAAAAAGTCCTGAGAAGAGTGAAGGAGGTGATATATCTGCCCAGGATGGAGGTAGTGGCGAAGTACTTAGTAGAGAAAAAGAAAAGAAGAGGAGAAAAGGAAGAAAGGGGAGAGGGGAAAATAGGAGGGGTGAGGAAGGGGTTGGTGTGCCCCAAGGAGGGCTCATGGCTATTGTACCCTACTTTTCAAGAATATACAGAGATCTAAAAAGCAAGTAATTGGAAACTGATCTGGCCAAAGTTGCCTGATTTGTAGAAACTTATTGTGCGTATTGCTGAGAATCACAATAAGTCTTTTGTTTACCAATGTACTGTGCACACGTCTTTTTACCTCATAGAAGGAAATGACTGATGTTTGCTAGGCTTTCATGATGTTTTGTAGCCATAAAGATATGTGCAGCTAACGCTTGCTCACTTTTCCCTATATCCATAATAGGTTTATGTAACAATGCCTCCCAGGGATCCTTACGTAGATTCAAATTCAGAACCATATTGACTATAACATAAACTGGGATCCATAGACATGTCTACCATATGTGTTTCATATCGCCCGTGTCTGAGAAGCCCCGAAAACACAAAGCAGGGTAAGTAGGAAGATATTTTGCAATTCTCACCAGGGTATAATACCACCATAACTTTGAATGAGTTCTCCAGGGCCACCACATTCTGTGAAAAGCAAAATAGTCTCCCACATCTTATTCTAGTCTAGGGCATGAAAAGCAAAGCACCAAGGTCTTGTTCCTATCACACATAGCAAGAAGGGGCCTTGGTATTAAAAGAACTCACAAGAGAGAAAAGAATAATTGAGATACAAGGTCTTGCATGGCAGGATGGGTACAGCACGTACTTGTGAAAGCCATTGTGAGAGTAGACCAATCATGGTTTCTGGTGAGAGATTTCATGAAGTGGTGGATTTGAACATTTCAAAATGTTTTGAGTCAGGGATGGAATATGCATCTTTCAGTTTTTTAAATAAGTGTGTGCTCCAAAAAGTTAACAGGGAGCAAAGCATGATCAAGCCAGTGTCACGGCACCAATGATAGCTATGAAGACTTTCCAATTCCTGCGGGAACAAAGGGCAGTAGACTATCTCCAGCAAGTGATATGCAGGGAGATAAGGTCAGCTGAGTATTTCACGGAATCAAAGACTGGAAGGGTGTGAGACAAAATTGAATTTAAGGGCTTAGGTTACAGTTGAGGGGAAGCCAGGGAAAGGAAGGTGGAATAGGGTTTGAGTGCACTACATCAATGCAAGTCCAAACAGGTGCCACTTTACCTGTGAAGAACTACACTGAGGGGAAATTTGTGCCACTTTATAATAGAGGGTTATATTTGGTACCCCCTAATCCATCTTTGGCTTTCTGTTTATATAGTATAGGCCTGGTTAGCCTAGGTCTAGATCAGAGTTGCTTAACCCATGGCCTGCGACCTCAAACGAGGAAGGCATGCTCGAGGTTGGTAACCCATCAATCATAATCTGGGCTTGCTGAACAACCATCCCAGAGCATCAGAGTGCAATGAGCCACCAGCAGTGGAAGAAAACACTTGTGGAGGGAGCAGGAGCCACATAAGCACATTCCTCATTCCTCTGTAGAGCCAGATCCTGTCCCAGGTGGTGTGGTACCAAGTGCACTTCACCTGGGACCTTTCTAGCAGTCTGAAGAGCGATGCCAGCAGAAGCTGGAAGAGGAAAAGAAGGTCACTGTATTAAACAACACATACACTGTGCTTTTGCAATGGGCATATTAGCATCCATAAAAGGGTTAACATATTAAAGGCTGCTTTCACATTGAATCACAGTGCACCTGCGGCTTTCCTGTGGGTTAGCTGCACTGAGCCACAGGCCCATGCAGCCCCCCTGTCACATTCTGTTTTACACTTGGACAGGAGGGGCAGCAGAGGCAGCATATACAAGAACCGATCCTCTTAATTTTCCTCCTTCAGCTGCTGAAAGCCAGTTTCTTCTCTTCTCCCTCCCACTGGCATTCAGTGGCTGTAGGAGGAAAGTGTTCATTATGCTACGCAAAAATTTAAAAAATGTTAAATTCTGAACCATTTCATTTCATTGTGGCTCACGGCTGGTTACCAAATCACTTAAGTGGCCTTCACTCTTCAAAATGTTGAGCACCCCTGGAATAGATGATCGCAGATGAACTTGAGAATAAGTCGTTGCAAAGAGTGCAATTTATGCGGAGGAGCCTGGATCAGTAAATTCTGAAATGGGTATAGTAACTTAGGGAGGAAAGTCATTTTAATCATATGAATATGGTCTATCCAGGAAATATGAGACTTGTCAGAGGTATCAAGTATATGAGTTAATGATTTGATGAGAGGATAATTTGTTGCATACAGAGAGTGGTATGTTGATGTTAACTTGATTCCCAAGTATGAGATAGAAGGGCCCATTGAAAGGAAAAAATGGCTTGCAATGAGTGCAAAGTTGACTCCGGCAAGGAGACATTTTGAACATAGGACTTAGCCTGGTTAATGTGGAGTCCCAATAGAAAGACAAACTCATGCAAAAGGGAAAATAGATTGAGGAGAGAGGTATTGTGTGAGAATAAATTAAATATAGCAAAATGTCATCAGTGAACATTGTAACATTGTAAGTTTATGCTTTACACCCGCCAGATAGATTCTCTGAATATTAGTATTGGAATTGATGTGAGCTGCTGAAGCTTCCAGGTCAAATGTGCCTCAAGAAAAAGGGAAATTGTCTTACCAATGCTGAATAGAATAGAATAGAAAGCCTTGATCCAGCATAGAAAGGGGTCACAAAAGCCTCTATGATGCAGGACTGCTCTAGGATATGACCACAATAGGATGTCAAATTCTTTTCCAGACGTCTAATGACAACATCAATTGTGTTTGTGAGCAAAGAGGAGCATTCATGAAACATTATCAGCCTCAAGGAAATGAAACCCACCTGATCCTTGGAAACTAGGTGGTGGAGAACATGGTTCATTTGACTAGCGAGCACCTTGTCCAAAAGTTTTATGTCTGTATTAAGTAACTAAATTGGGAAGATTGGCCCATTATTTGTTGTCTTTGGTGGAAGCATTACTGTGAATGTTCACGGCATGTCCAGCAAAAGGTGCTTACCCTTCTTAGGGTCATTAAATAGGGCTGTCAAATAGAGGGTCATGACATCAGGTAGCTTTTTATAAAACAGTTCTGTGAACCCATCAAAGCCAAGGCACTTTTATAGAGAGGTGCACTTCTCTATCTTCAGTATCGGCGCCTAAAGTCTTGTAATGCATAGAATGTAATGTGTTTAAAGCTGGATTACTTGGGAATGCACGGAGGTCTATAGTAGAAGCATCTGCTGTAGGAGAGTAGTGTTTCGATAGATGGAAGCAAACCTCATATATAATTTTTATCGAGTTAGAGGTACAAACCTGGAATTTTTCCTAAGGGAGAGTGGGATTTGCTTTCATGTATAGGATCTCGATTTGTTAGCCAAGAGAGAGCCTATTTTATTGCCATTGGCATGAAACTTCTGTTTGGTCCAGCACAATTGGTGCTCCACCCAGTGGTGTATTTAGGTTTTGTGCTGCCCTAGGCACCCCCCATGGAGAGAACCTGACATTGACCAACAACACCCCTGGCCACCCCCCTGAGAGAGTCTTCCACTAATAACCCCCCCCCCCACAGCGAGGAGAGAGAGAAAGACACCTTCACAGCTCTGGACATCCCCCAAAATGAAAGTTGGGCTCTCCGTACACCATCAAGCAGCCCACAACATCTCTTGGATCTCACCTGGTCACTATGCGTTCCTTCTTCCATCCCTTTTTCTGGGTGCACCCCTGAAAAATGCGGCTCTAGGCAAATGCCTTGTTTGCCTTGTGGTAAATACGCCCCTGGCTCCACCCTCTCCGTCATGCAGAGACCCAGGTCCCCCTAAGGTTTATTGACTGCTTGTCTATTGCAGGTTGAGGGTTGTAATTTTATATAGACAGTGGCGGCTTCTAGCTCGGACTCTAGGGGAGGCATGCCAAGGTCAAAGTGACCTTGGATTACTGCCTTATAAGCCTCCCAGAGGGTGACGGTGGATGACATTTTGTTAGAATTAAGGCAAAAGTACTCTTCAAAGCAAAGCTGCAGATCATCCACAAACAATGGGTGGGATAGCAAAGAGTCATTTAGGCACCAAATGGGATCTTGGAAGTTTGAGAATGAAAGAGACAATTAAGATTGGGTCGTGGTCAGACCAGGGTACTGTGAATCTAGAAGCAGAAACTATTTGAGGAATGAACTGTCTGAGTATAAACACATGGTCAATATTGGTATATCTAGCATGAGGATGGGTAAAAGTGTAATCTCTAGTCAGAGGATGGAGTTCTCGGCAGAAATCGACAAGGCCATAGGTGTCCAAAAGATCCATGATGGATTTTGAGGATACATCTGGTGAGGAGCGATAACATTTTGGGTTGAGCACTAAATTTGAAAGCTGCTTTCTGTGAGGACACTCAGGCAGGCTCACTCCTGAGCCTCGCTGTCTGCATCTATTGACACAGACAACAGGGATCAGCCCCCCTTATCTTTGGATTTGATTGACAGCAGCAGGGAACCAATGGCTCTCACTGCCTCAGCAAAGCTAGTGAGACCAGGAAGTGAGGGGAGAGAAGAGCTGCAGACAGAAATAACGCTGAATTTAATGAGTGCTCAGGTAAGTAAAGGGGGGAAAAGGGGGATAATGTAAGGAATGCATTGGTTAAAAAACATTTAGGCTTTATAACTATTTTAAGATAAAAATCAAAACCATTCTTGATGTTTATTTGCCTCTTTCTCTGCTGCAATTCTTGCTCCATGTCCCCGCTCTCCATATTAGCCATTACAATAGTTGTGTTCAGGGGTGGACTGACCATTCCGGCTCTCGGGCACTGCCCGAGGGCCCAGGGTCAGTAGGGGGCCCCATGAGATGCCCCTGGTACCTTTCGTAGGCTTTTTGGGTGTGGTTTGAGTGTGGGCGAGGACACAGGGGCCCCATGATCCCCTATTGCCCGGGGGCCCCATGAGTTGCCAGTCCGCTCCTGGTTGTGTTTTACCACATCTTCTTAATGCTGCAAAACATCTTATACCACTTAGAAAAAAAAACACCACATGTGCCTAGTAGAATGGACTGGATCAAAGGTAGTGGACATCATGGATTCTGAGGGATGGCAAGCTACTTGTAAGGATAGACTTAGTAACTTTACTGAGGTTTGGGCCACATGGGCTCATTTCTTTGCAACCCCTGTAAACATGCCACTCCAATTTATGAAATTTGCTACCTAAAGGGGAATTTTATGATGCTACATTCTTCTTCCTTTTAAAGGGTCTGCATCCTGTAAGTTTGTTACTTTTGGTTTTCTTTATGTATATTATGTATATGTCTCTCTTTTGTTGAACTCAGTGGACATGTGCCTTTTTTTATTCATTCTATGTAACAACAACCGGGTCCATCTAACAACATCTAAAACTTGCTCAATGAATAAATAATAATAAAAAAAAAATCCCCCTCCTCTCCTAATACACCTATCACAGCCACTAACTATAAGCTAAAATGGTAGAAAACCTAGGAAACCTGGAACCAATGATTGAGAACCTAGGGAAAGGTATGGTCATTACTCATAGGTTTTTATGGATTACATGAGGGCATCACCGGGCTTGCAAAGCTACATGGAAGTTTTTTTCTTTAAAGTAGATCCTATTTTCTAAAGTAATTTTTGCCAAAGGACCACTTCAAAAATAGGATATCTACTCCTCCTATTAAAGCAGAAGTAAACTCCTCTTTCGAACTTGTACCTACAAGTAAGCCTATAATAAGAAGGCTTACCTGTAGGTACAGTGAATATCTCCTAAAATTGTGGTTTGTAGGATATGTATCTCATATTAATATCTCCTAAATACCGCAAGTCTAGGAGACATTTCCGAAGCATGCACTCTGAAGGGACGCATGTTCCTGCCGTCACTTCAGAGCTCTCTGCCGTGGCCATGACTTTCATGGACATTCATGGGAGTGACATCATCACAGATCAGCCATTCAAGCAGCTGCAGCCGAAATCAGGACTAACACTAGGTGAAGATGGAAGCCCTATCAGCGGTGATAGCACACCACTAGATGGCTTTGCTTTAAGGTAAGTATAACATAATGTGCTAGTATGTGGTACTAGCACATTATGGCTAAAACCACCCAGGGTCCATGTTTTTTTTTAAGTTTACTAATGCTTTAACCCCTTCACGCCGGTGCCTCCTGGCCCTTTAAGAGTTTCAGAAGCTGGGAGTCGGGGCAGGGTTTAGGGTCATGTGACCGCCGTGACACAACGTCACGGCAGTCACATGATTGGGAAAGGTCCCGATCGAAAGAGGATCGGGACCTTTCCGTGAGTACCGGACATGTGTGCTAGGAGCGTGCAGGGTGCGCGCTCTCGGCACATATGTCCTTTTTTGATAGAACGCAAATGTGCGGCCGCTCGACGTCTAGGCCCAGATGCCAGGAGGCCGCACATTTGCGCTCGGCCGGCATGAAGAGGTTAAAGAACCTAGACTTTGGCAAATGAAGTGATAGCCAGTTGGGGGATAAAAGATGAACCTGAAAAAAAGGTGTATAGTAGACAAACATAAGAGGCTACACTGAAAAGGTCAGTAGGCCTCTCAAGTTTGATGCTTGAAAGAAGGACTCACAATACAGGAGACTTTGTGAGAAGGAGGTAAAAAATTGAAAGTAATGAGTAATAAGATCAATGGGTGAAAGTTGTTCATTTTTTGCAGAGCTATGGGTTGGGTTTCAAGTTCAGAGAACCTACAGGGGTTTGCAGGATGTAGCTGGGGGTGGGGTTCTAAATAATTGTAAAGACCAGAAACTCCTGGTAATGTCTTGGAAAATATAATTTTAAGGTCTTGTCTTGGAAGAGTTCATTTAAGGCCCTTAATGGACTTCTTCTCGATTTTCCACACATAGAAGAAGACCCCTCCCAATGCATTTTGCTCATGTGGGACTTAATCATAGAGACCTCTATCATTAAGTCCCATATGTGTAAAATGCATCTGGTGGGTTCTTCTATGGGAGAAGAACCAAGATGAAGCCAAATCTCTTAATTTTTTTACCTTCTTAGCTTCACAGTCTGCTGATCCAGCATGCGTCCAAGTGCAATTTTTCTGTAGTCTAAGGTAAGTCTGATGAACCTTACATCTTGACCAGCTCCAGCATACAGTGGCACCAGCCACAGGACCCACCTCATGGAGCATTGGAGCTATCTTGGGTGCACTGGCCATTTGGAAACTCGGGCACTGCCCGAGGGCCCAGGATCAGTAGGGGGCCCTATGAGATGCCCCTGATACCTTTTTCATAAGCTTTTTTGAGTTTGGGCAAGGACTCAGGGGCCCCATAATCCCCTATTGCCCGGGGGCCCCATGAGTTGTCAGTCCGCCCCTGGGAGCTATATTATTTTTTTAGTTTAGGCCACACATACCAATATTTACTTATTACCTTTTATTAACAACTGTAAAATATTGCCTAAAGCAAACCATTATTTCATGATTTCGTAGACTATAAATAATTGGATTAAAGAATGGAGTAACAACAGTATATAAAAGAGAGAGCATCTTGTTAATCCTAATCATGTTCTGCTGAGAAGGAACCAAATAATTAATAAATATTGACCCGAAGTACATACAAACAGAAGCTAAATGTGAACTGCATGTGGAGAATGTTTTCTGTCTCCCGGACCATGAGGAAATTTTCTGAATGGTGAAAAATATAGAAACATAACTCAAAATAATCAGCACAAATGGAAAAAGGTTTAGAATAAAGGACAACAGGAGAACCTCCATCTTCACCATTGATGTGTCTGAAGAAGATATCTCCAAAATAGGCGTTAGATCACAATACAGATGGTCAATGATGTTCAAATCACAGAACTGTAGGTTGCAGATTGATACTGTGGATATGATGAGCAATATGAATGCCAAAAGCCAAGCCCAAATTACCAGATGGATGCAATTGCTGGCATTCATGATGGAAGAGTACCTCAAAGGGTTGCAAATGGCCAAGTGTCTGTCATACGCCATAACTGTTAAGAGGAGACATTCAGCACTACCTGTCGCTGATACCAAGTGGTGTTGAATGATACAACCATAGAATGACATGTAACCACCATTCCACCATAAAATGTACAACAGGTTTGGTATGATTATTGTAGTGAAAAACATCTCACAGGCGGATAAATTGCAAATAAAAAAATACATGGGAGAATGGAGTCTTGGACTGGTAGCTATCAAGATTATGATTAACATGTTACCTATTAACGTGGTAAGATACAGTTGTGACCAAAATTATTCAACCCCCAATGCTGTAAAGGGGTTTAGGGACTATAGTGTACATTTGGAATTGTATTCAGAATCAAATCCTACAAGGACGTTGTAACTACCCAAATGCAACTAAAATGACATCAATTGTTTATGTAATACAGTAGTAAATGGTTCTTATGTGGTTTCTTCATTGCCACAATTATTCAACCCCTTAAAGACTACCACTCTGAAGAACAGAGGTTCATACAGGTGCTTTCCATCAGGTATTGAAAACACCTGTGGATGTCACCGAGCAGCAATCAAGCATAATAAGCACCAATTAGGCAGCTTTAAAATGACTGTGATACTCAGCTCCTTCTAGACATTTACTGGTGTGGTTACAAACATGGTGAAGGCAAGAGAATGGTCCAGGAAGACAAGAGAAGAGGTGATTTCTCTTCACAGGAAGGGCAATGGCTATAAGAAGATTGCAAAGATGTTAAACATACCAAGAGACACCTTAGGAAGCATCATTCGCAAATTCAAGGCAAAGGGCACTGTTGAAACGCTACCTGGTCGTGGCAGAAAGAAGATGCTGACTTCGACTGCTGTGCGCTACCTGAAGCGTAGAGTGGAGAGAAGTCCCCGTGTGACTGCTGAGGAACTGAGAAAAGATTTGTCAGATGTGGGTACAGAAGTTTCAGCCCAGACAATAAGACGCACACTGCGTAATGAAGGCCTCCGTGCCAGAACTCCCAGGCGTACCCCCTTGCTGTCTCCAAAGAATAAGAAGAGTATGCCAAAAGCCATGTGGACAAACCACAAAAGTTGTGGGATAGTGTTCTGTGGACTGATGAAACAAAATTAGAACTGTTTGGGCCCATGGATCAACGCTATGTTTGGAGGAGGAAGAACAAGGCCTTTGATGAAAAGAACACCTTGCCTACTGTGAAGCATGGTGGAGGGTCAATCATGCTTTGGGGCTGTTTTGCTTCTGCAGGTACAGGGAAGCTTCAGCGTGTGCAAGGTACCATGAATTCTCTTCAGTACCAGGAGATATTGGATGGAAACGTGATGCAGTCCGTCACACACCTGAGGCTTGGGAGACGTTGGACCTTTCAACAGGACAATGATCCCAAGCATACCTCCAAGTCCACTAGAGCATGGTTGCAGAGGAAAGGCTGGAACATTTTGGAGTGGCCATCGCAGTCACCAGACTTAAATCCGATTGAGAACCTCTGGTGGGACTTAAAGAAAGCAGTTGCAGTGCGCAAGCCTAAGAATGTGACTGAACTGGAGGCCTTTGCCCATGAAGAATGGGCGAAGATACCCGTAGATCGCTGCAAGACACTTGTGTCAAGCTATGCTTCACGTTTAAAAGCTGTTATAACTGTAAAAGGATGCTGTACTAAGTACTAAGATTGAATGTCACTTGGGGGTTGAATAAAACTGATAATGCTGTGAGCACAGAAAAGACATTTGTGGTTATTTCATTATAACTGTTATGTTATATTTGTCTGACCTACAAGTGCCTCTTTAATGTAAATGTAAGCAAGATGACTGAATGATCAAAAGCAATGTCAAACTGGCCAAAACACTCAATTTCAGTGGGGGTTGAATAATTTTGGTCACAACTGTAAATGAGCAGGAACAAAGCAAATATTAAATCCTTCGAGCTTTTGAGATTACCGAACCCCAGAAGAAACACCTCCATCACCATTGTCTTGTTCTGTCCGCATGTAGTCTGGTAAAAAAAATCCAGACAGCAAAAATGAGTTTGTACAGCACAGAACAGATCCTAATTACTAAGCATTTACTAATGAAGTCATATATTACCTATAACATGAAAGATTCATGAAAAGGGTTGTGGTTTTTGAACCTTGGATTGATTATTCCTCGTTACCTGAAACCGATCTACTGGACCATCAGTCCAACTCTAAACCTCTTTATAGCATCCTACTTTCCAAAATAAATGCTTTTATTCCATCTGCATGAAATCAACATTCTAAGACCATCAATGGGTATGGATAAACAGTTGAATAAATGGCTTTATATCTTGGCAGTATCAGGGCTATAAACCAACAACTTTGAATGTACAGTTGAATAAATGGCTCTTTATTTAGGATGTATCTCTCTGTAAGCAGCAGATCTGGATGGAGAGCTGAATAAATGGCCTTTTATTTGGAATGTGTCTGATCTAAAACCTGCAGCTCTGGATGTTAAGTTGGACAAATGGCTCTATATTTAGGATGCATCGGGTCTACAAACCAGTGGCTCTAGATGTACAATTGGATACCAGAGGTTCTGGATGGACAGTTGAATACATGGTTTCGTATTTAGCATGCATCTGGCCTATAAACCAGAGCCTCTGGATGAACAGTTGAATAAATGGCTCTATATTTAGGATGTATCCGGTCTATAAACCAGAGGCTTTGGGTGGACAGTTGAATAAATGACTCTGTATTTAGGATGTATCCAGTCTATAAACCAGAGACAATGGATAAACAGTTGAATAAATGGCTCTATATTTAGGATGTATCTGGCCTATAAACCAGAGGCTCTGGATGGACGGTTGGATAAATGGCTCTATATTTAGGATGTATCCGGTCTATAAACCAGAGGCTCTGGATGGACAGTTGGATAAATGGCTCTATATTTAGGACGTATCCGGTCTATAAACCAGAGGCTCTGGATGGTCAGTTGGATAAATGGTTCTATATTTAGGATGTATCCGGTCTATAAACCAGAGGCTCTGGATGGACAGTTGGATACATTGCTTTATATTTAGTGCCTGTTCAGAACATACCATGCCGATGATGATAGTAGGCAATTCGCTGTGCCTAACCCTGGTTCATGTACAAACTTCCCACCTCATGGACACAAGATGTAAGAACATAAAGAACTATAAAAGTTAATTCAAGTGTCAGCTGTCATTTGGTGTGAGTATTAGATCAGCCACCATATTTTATAGTTTATGGTGTCTCATTATTGAAGGGATACAGGGAATTGGAACAGAGCTATAAATGATATACCAAACTCCCAAGGGGCCAATTACTATAAAAAGATGCCCCTCCTGTGGATTTTTTATTAATTCCAACATGTTTATGGAGAAAAAGTAAAACAAGTGAACAAACAAAGAAAAACTGAATTGATATGCAGTATCTTCTGATGCTACATGGTGCTGTATTCTGTCATTCAACATTTGGACAGAACAGTGAAATGCCATCTAGTTACATAATAAGTCAGGTTGAAAATGAAATTTTCATATAATTACCAGGATGCAAACAAAATACAACACCACTACATGACCCAATTCCTACTGCTTCAATAACTGACATAAAACTATAGATGAACTGAAGTAACAGACAGAACATTAGGAGGCCACAGTGCCTAAATGACAAGACTCCTGGGGGAGTTATAGGTGGCAGAAACAATGCACTGCTGTGTCATCTGAGGTCTTATCATTTATAATGAGAGTTTGATAGAAATTGTTCAGTGGCAGGACAGTGTTTGTCAGCAAGAACAAGGACAGCCTTTCCAAATTATTGGCTGCGAAAGAAGGCCTAGTACCATTTGATGAAAAGAATGTGTTGGTCCTAAATAATGTTGCTTGAACAGTACAGTGCTTGAAATGACAGTACCCAGGGGGTTTGGGGTGACAGAAGGTGGGATCCCTTTTCAGTAAAACCAAACACCAGAAACCCCATCATCCATAGCTGTGACTAGCTTAGCGTAGGCTGGTGCAGTTAGCCACTTTTCTGCTAGGTGACTGTGTACAAGAATAGTGTCTGGTATAGCAGGTATTGACACTAGGTGTTCCTAGGTGGCCCCTTTTAGGTAGAGCCCCCCACAGTGTTGGCAGGAGTGTGGTAGCACCCACATATTAGCTAAGTGGGAAGAAACACCTCACACCTGCGAGCATGTAGCCAACACATGGCTCTTATAAAGGTTGGGGCTGGGGTGGAATGCAAAAGGCCTTTTAGGTCAGGCTGGAGATCCATATGTGAGGCTCCTTCCTTGAAGAGATATACCCAGCTAGGAGATGTCTACAGAGAACACAGTCTTGTGAGTACTGATGACCCTGGGCAGGGGAGAGACTGTAGGGAGATGGCTGTTCAGGCGATGCAAGTGTTTTCGACTACTGCGGACTGTCTGCTATATGTGATTGACTGGTGACTCCATAATATACAGTATGTCCTTGTGATGTGACTGTATTGGCACTCCCCGAACAACACCAGTAAACTTCAGTGAATCAAATTATTGCATGGACATTCCTTCTTCAGGATTAAAAGGTCTATGGCTGGAAATGTCATGAAGGGTTTTATGGCAAGGAGCAAGGCAAAAGATGGCGGAAGGTTCTGCCTCAGCAGGGGGTACCATGTTCTATCAGGACTGGAGCAGGGGTAGGGCCCTGTGCTTGGGCGCCAAGTTTCCAAATGGTCAGTCCGCCCCTGGTTACCAACATCTTTCTGAGGGTGGTTACTTTCAATCTTTCCTACTGCATATGGTAATCTAGCCAATAATGGCAATTTTCTAAGCAAAACAAAGAAAGAACACTGAGGGCTGGGTACTGACCTAGAAGGCAGGCACCAAAAACAAAACAAAAATAAAAGGTAAAATTGATAATTCAATGAGGAGAGGCCATTTTGGAGCAGCTCAAATGGCATCAGAAAAAAAAATTACATTTCTTTAAATACCATGCTGGGGGGATGTAAAGCTGTATGTGGGATTATAGAATGTTAATTCTGTTGGGGACAGCATCAGCAACGACAACTATATCCTGGCTCCACAGAAATTGCATCTCTATTTGTTCACTTTAAGTTTACATAATTGCTTGCCTTAAATACAGCAGCAGCAACTCAATATGTTTGATTTCCACCAAAAACAAATTCTGTGGTCATGCAACAACGTACCCACAGCTTTCTTTTGGTGATATTTAATCACTACTGGGTTTTTATTTTTTGCTAAATAAATGAAAAAAGACCAGCATGGTGAGTTTTTTTGAATTTTTCTGTCACAGTTTTTTTGGAAAATGAAGAAATTTTAAAAATTTTGTTTTTCATCATTTTAAAACATTTTTACATACTGTCACCAGCTCAGTAAAGCATAATCCTATAACTGGTGTGACCATGATCAGGGACACTGACTGGTTACAGAATGTAAAAAAAAATAATAATAATAATATTTTAAAAATGTAAAAAAATGTTTTTATTTTTCTATAACTCTTTTTCTATTTTTTTTTAACATAGTGGCCAGGAGGGCGTGGCCTGAGCGGGATAGTGTGAAGACGTCTGGACGTTGAGCTCTGGCCAGATGCGATTTCTCCTGCGCTCTAGGGTCCAGGCCAGTGGCGAGTAGATGGAACCAAAACCAGAAAAAGGCGACCACCAGTGTATTAAAGGTTGTGCAGCTCTGATGAAGAAGGCATGGCCTTTGAAACGCGTCGGATGTACTGAGTGTTTACCCCCATGATGGGATTCGTGCTGGCTCCCTTTGAGGACTACATGCCTGATTTTATTCGCTGTTTGTGAGTGCCATTCTTTAATTAATAAATTTGGTTACTGAGGTAATGCGCAAGGTTGGTGCGCTTTTCGTTTTTGTTTCAAGTTGAGCTCCGGCCCCCCGGGATGGAATTAACCTTATTGCATTGGTTTACAGCTCTCCTGCCTCCCCCACTACATGCCTCCCAAACTCCTCACCTCCTCCCACCCACCCGGAGGTAGCGGAACGTGGACCAGCGGGCTCCAAACTTTTTTTACTTCACACCAGGCCAGCTTCGGGACAGCGGCCAAGATGGCACCCAACCACGAGGCTGCCCTGCGCTCCTCTCCTGCAGGCAGTGGCGGGTCCCCTGCACCATCGTTCTCCTCACAGGTACAGTGCCCTAGCCCCTTGTTCCCCCCAGGATCGATTGCTGGGTCATCCCCTCTAGCGGAGCTGGGTGTTACCGAGGGTGAGTGGGACATTAGGGAGCATATCAGAGCTCTTCCCACTAAGGCCGATATACAGCAGTTGATTACTGCTGTGGAATATTCATGCAAGCAGGCCATAGAGGGGCTCAGGGAGTACAGAGTGGTGCTGGGAAATGGAGTTGAGGCAATGGAGACCGCTCATGATGAAGTTTTGCAAACTGTTACTACTATACAGGAGACTGTTCTCCATCATGAAGATGTGTTTAATACTTTACTGGACCAGCTTGATGATCAGGAAAATAGAGACAGGAGACAGAATATTCACATTCGCGGATTGCCTGAAGCTACCTGTGCCTCAGACCTCCTTCCTTCTACTCAAGGCCTGTTTCGACAGATTTTAGGGGACTCTGCTTCTGACGCAATTGAATTGGATAGGGTTCATAGAGCCCTTTTGCCTGTCCCTCAAGATACTGACAACCCACGGGACGTTAAATGTGAGTGTGCAATTTTTATTCTGCAAATGTTTTACCTATATTAACCACTTCCATACCGGGTAATTTTACCCCCTTCCTGACCAGGGCAATTTTCAGCTTTCAGCGCTATCGCACTTTGAATGACAATTGCGCGGTCATGCAACACTGTACCCATATGCATTTTTTACCATTTTTTTTGAGACAGATAAAGCTTTATTTTGGTGGTATTTATTCACCGCTGGGATTTTTATTTTTTTTTGCTGTGTAAATGAAAATGCCCAAAAATTTTGAAAAAAAGTATTTTTCTTATAAAATTTTCCAAATAAATATTATTTCATCATAAATCTTGGCCAACATTTATTCCGTTATCTTTTTAGTAAAAAAAAAAATAAGCCAAATTAGTTTATAACCAAAAATTATCATTTAAAAAAAATTTTTTTACATTTTTATTTTTTTTTATATTATTATTTATTTTATTTATTTATTTATTTTTACATACTGTCACCCTAGCAGTACATTGTCACCATGGTGAGACTGTACTACTTTTGGGGGGTGATGAAGATTTTTTTTTTTTTTTTTTTTACACTGATTGCTTTTACACCCATATAGGATGTAAAAGCAATCATTTCTCTTTCTCTCTGTCTGCATTCTTGGAACCATTGAGAACTACTGAGTGAGCTGTGATTGGTCACAGCTTGTCACATGGTACAAGGCTGTTGTGAATAGCCTTGTACCATGTGACCTCTGTGATCATTCACAGATTATACACGTAGTAAGCAATGATGTCACAAGTGACATCTTGCTTACTACTTTGCATGTGATCACTGATTGGTCACCTCCGGAACCCAGGGTCCCTACTCTTGGAACTCCATCGAGATCATGTTAAGAAAGTGCTAACCACTCTAAGGATGCATGGTTTGTACGCAAAGGTGGAGAAGTGCAAGTTCGAAAAGCAGTCCATCGAGTTCCTGGGGCTCATAATTTCCACTGAGGGAATCTCCATGGACCCTCAGAAAGTATTTGCTATCCTGGAATGGCCTACACCTTCAGACAGGAAAGGGGTCCAAAGATTCGTAGGCTTCGCTAATTTCTATCGGAAATTTATTAAGGGCTTTTCAACCATCATTGCCCCTAATACTCAACTTACTCGCGAGCATACATGTTTCTGCTGGAGTCAGGAAGCACAAATAGCGTTTGAGCGATTAAAACGTCAGTTCACTTCCGCTTCTGTGTTACAGCATCCAGAACCAACGCTTCCCTTCATCTTGGAAGTGAACGCATCTGAAGTTGCTACAGGAGCCGTGCTCTCAGCACCAGGGACCAAAGGCTCTGCTTCACCCAATAGCCTTTTGTTCTAGAAAACTGAGTCAATCTGAAAGGAACTATGATGTGGGTGATAGGGAACCTCTAGCAATCAAGATAGCCTTCGAAGAATGGAGATACCTCTTGTAAGGAGCTAGCCACCCAATTATGATTTTCACAGATCATAAAAATCTGGAATATCTAAGATCCGCCAAGCGCCTAAGACCACGACAGGCTAGATGGGCTCTATATTTCTACAGATTTAATTTCCACATAAACTAGCACCCAGGATCCAAGAATGGGAAGGCTGATGCTCTGTCCTGAATGTTACCGGACCCAGTGGAGCCTTCTACCCCCAACACCATCTTGTCGGTCCAAAATGTTTTGCTGATTCAACCCAGCCTAAAGTCTTCAATCAAACAAGCCCCTGCACTATGTTCTGAACCCAAACAAGACTCGTTAAGGAGGCAGGATGGTCTTCTTTGGCACCAGGATAAGATCTTTGTACCCCAGGAGGTAAGATCCCAGGTTTTCAGGACTTTCCATGATCATCAACTGGCTGGATACTTTGGAGCCCGTAAAACAATGGAACTAATCAAGCTATCCTTTTGGTGGCCCAACTTGAATCAAGACTGTAAACCGTATGTGAAATCTTGCACTGTGTGTCTGCGTAGCAAGGGAGACAGGGCCAAGGCTTGGGGGTTACTGAGGCCCCTGCCCATTCCTGATCTTCCCTGGGAGATGGTCACAATGGACTTCATTGTGGACTTGCCTTCCTCTGAGGGGTTTACTACCATTCTAGTAGTAGTGGATCGGCTATCCAAGATGGCCCACTTCTTACCAATGGTGGGTACTCCATCTGTGCCAGAAACTGCACTTACCTTTATCAAGGAGATCGTTAGGTTACTTGGGCTGCCCAGTAATATTGTCTCAGACCGAGGGGTGCAGTTTACTTCCAGGATCTGGAGAGCCCTCTGCAAGGCCATGAAGGTGGAACTCTGCCTATCGTCTGCCTTCCATCCTCAGAGTAATGGGCAAACAGAGCGAACAAATCAGACTTTGGAGCAATACTTACGGTGCTTCTCCTTTTTCCCAGGATGATTGGGCATCCCTACTCCCATTGGCAGAGTTTGCCTACAACAGCCAGTCACCATTTTGGGCCAATTATGGATTCCACCCTTCCTGCATACCGGACACCATACCTGAAGCTTCAGTACCCGCAGTACAGGACAGACTCTCCATGATACAGGACAACTATAGCATTCTCCAGGAGTCTGTATAGAAATCCCAGGCTGACTATAAGAAGCACTACAACAGGAAACAGAGAGGAAACCCTTCTCTGAAGATTGGCGATAAAGTTTGGCTGTCAACTGCCAACCTAAAACTCCCTTGCCTATCACGAAAGTTGGTACCAAGGTACAGTGGCCCTTTCCGAATCAAGAGGGAAATTAATCTAGTGGCGTATGAGCTGTTTCTTCCTGAATCATACAAGATTCATCCAGTTTTCCACGTCTCATTACTCAAGCCAGCTGTTCCTGATCCATTTTCAGGGACAGTAGAACCACCTCCTCCGCCGATAACAGTTGGGGGAGGCAGAATACAAGGTTGAAGCAATTCTGGACTGCAGAATGTGGGGAAGACAAATCCAGTACTTGGTCAGATGGAAGGGGTACCCACCTGAAGAATGTTCCTGGGAACCAAAAGGTAATGTACATGGCCCCAGGCTTCTCCAAGAATTCCTTTCCAAGTATCCTGAAAAGATGGCCCAGGTGGGCATCTGGAGGCTGCCCTTTAGGGGGGTACTGTCAGGGTCCTGTCTTCGGCAGAAGTCCTGGAAGACCAGACATTTCCACCAGTACCCTACATGGCCACGGAAATACATGGTGGCGAAGATCCATGTGCATTGGCGCATGGATGTGTGCTGTCCCGCGCATGCGCACTGGCGCATAGTTGTGCACGCATCAGGTCCAGTTTTGGCACCAAACGGCCTTTATAAGGAGGCTCTTCACATCCTCAAGTTGCTGGATGATCTCTAGCTCCCGTACCTTGGTCCTGTTTCCTGTTTCCTGTGTTATTGTGACCTATGACTTTATGATACCTACTCAGCTTGCTCTTGGACCTGTCTACTCTGCTTAACCCCTGATCTGACCTCGGCTTGGCTAACAGATACTCTCTCTCTCTCTCGCTCCTCTGTGTATGACCTCAGCTATCCCATCTGACTACGTCTGCTCTGATTCCCAGCTGGTACCTTACCTTGGCTTGAACCGGCTATCCAGTAATCCAATATTCCCAGAAGGGCTTGCATACCTCGCACAGGCGCCACCTGTCTGCAGACTTCATCTCCGTGCATCAGCTGTGCTCCTGGGTGGACCACCAACAAGCACTCCTACAGGCGACCTGTGCCACTTTGGGCCTGACTCCCCCTGTCCCACTCTCAGGGGAGTCCGGAACTTAGCCGCAAGGGAGCCCTCTCTTCATTGGCCTCCATCACCAGGTTCGTGATACTAGTGCTGTGTGGGAGGAGGGGTTTCTTTCTTTCCTTTTTTTTTTTTCTCTTTCTTTCCTTTTACTTCTCTTTTCTTTCATTTGTTTGAATTTACTGGAAATTGTCATGGATATTCCATGTATGCACAACTATGGTCAAAGACATTTGTTTACCTCTGTTGTTATATGGGGGTTTTCTTTGTATTTATTACTTCTTTGTCAGATTGAAGTATACCTACTGACTTATTGTTTATTTTATTTTATGTCATCGGAAAATGTTAATAAAGATTAATTAAAAAAAAAAAACATACAGTGGCCAGAGCAGTATAGTGTTACTATAGAAACACTGTACTACTCTGGGGAGGGGATTAGGATTTTTTTTACATACTGTAATTGCAAATTAATTTTATTGTGATAAGTAACATTTTTTTCTGAATGAAAACTATTCATTTAGTGTTTGCTATTGGCCACAGCTAATCACATGGTACAGATGGGCTAAGATTGCTCATCTGTACCATGTGATCACTGGGACCAATCACAGGGATCATCACTATAGTACACAATGAATGGCATGAATAAAAGCCATGCGTTGTGTACAATTGTCATGTGATCTGCTGTGATTGGTCACAGTGATCACATGATATCAGCAACAGGCCAGTGGACACCGCAGATAACAGAGCGCGCTGGAGCATGGCCTGTGGGAGGTGCGATCCTAGGAGGACGTCATATGATGTCTTCCAAGGACAGAAGGGCTCCCTCTCAGCAGACATTTTGTTATTTGTTATTGTTTGTTCTATGTCACAGGGATATCCAGCAAACGTGAGCTGAGATAAACAAATCTGTCTTACGCAGGCTACCTCACTTCTTCTAGACTTTACTCTGGCCCAATATCTTGTACATCATACAGCCCTTCCAAAGAGAGAATACTTCCAAACCTTAGCTATGCATATGGTGAATGCAACCAGAATGTACAGTATATTCCAGTTCATTGATGTTCTTCAGGGTTCCTGACAATTCAGGCATGGTTTGTGAGATTAAATAAAATGGAGGAGTTTATCCATATGCAATAATTCACAGCTACATGGTTGAGTTGGATCCACTTTAAGTCCACTGAGAGATGCACTATATTACCAAAAGTATTGGCCCCGCCCTCCAAATCATTGGATTCAGGTATCCAATCACCTCCATGGCCACAGGTGTATAAAATCAAGCCCCTAGGCATGCAGACGGCTTCTACAAACATTTGTGAAAGAATGGGTCGCTCTCAGGAGCTCAGTGACTCCAAGCGTGTCCCGTGATAGGTTGCTACCTGTGCAATAAGTCCATCCGTGACATTTCCTTGCTACTAAATATTCCACAATCAACTGTTAGTGGGATTATAACAAAGTGGAAGCAACTGGGAACAACAGCAACTCAGCCACCAAGTGGTAGGCCACGTAATATGACAGAGCGGGGGTCAGCGATGCTGAAGCTCACAGTGCATAGAAGTCGCCAACTGTCTGCAGAGTCAATAGCTAAAGACCTCCAAACTTGGTATTGCCTTCAGATGAGCCCAACAACAGTGCGTAGAGAGCTTCATGGAATGGGTTTCCATGGCCGAGCAGCTGCATCCAAGCCTTACATCACCAAGTGCAATGCAAAGCGTTGGATGCCGTGGTGTAAAGCAAGCCACCACTGGACCCTAGAACAGTGGAGACGTGTTCTCTGGAGTGATGAATCATGCTTCTCTGTCTGGCAAACTGATGGACATGTCTGGGTTTGGCGGTTGCCAGGAGAATGGTACTTGGTCCCTTAGTTCCAGGGTGCCACAATAAAATTGCTGTTACAAAAAACAGTAACTATTGCCAAATTTGAAGACCATAATGGTAGCAGGCCTACAACAATGGCAAAAAATGTTAACAGTGGCAGAGAGTGAGATGTACCAATGGTGGCTGAGAGACTGGACAGGTGCTCAGAGAGACTGGACAGGGAAATGGTGGCAGCATGCAAGACTTTTTTTTTTATTACAGTGCATCCACAAATTATTAACAGCGCTTAACTTTTGCCACATTTTGCTATGTTACAGTTTGATTCCAAAACGGATTAAATTCATTTTTTTCCTCAACATTCTACAAACAATACCCCATAATGACAATGTGAAAGAAGTTCATTTTGAAATTTATTCAAAATAAAAAATGAAAAAAAAAACCCACATGTACATAAGTATTCCCAGCCTTTGCTCAATACTTTGTTGGCCCCTTTAGCACCAATTCCAGCCTCGAGTCATTTGGAGTATGATGCTACAAGCTTGGCACTCCTATTTTTGGGCGATTTCTCTCATCCTTTTTTGCAGTACCTCTCAAGCTCCATCAGGTTGGATGGGGAAGATTGGTACACAGCCATTTTCAGATCTCTCCAGAGATGTACATTTGGGTTCAAGTCTAGGCTCTGGCAGGATCATGCCAGGACATTCACAGAGTTGGCCTGTAGCCACTCCTTTGTTATGTGGGCTGTGTGATTAGGGTCGTTGTCCTGTTGCCTCCAATCAATTTGTGGAAACATCTCAAGGATGATCAATGGGAACAGGATGCATTTTGAGTTTCATGGCAAAGGCTGTGAATACTTATGTACATGTGGGGTTTTTTATAAATTGCAAAGATTTCAAAACAAACTTCTTTCACATTGTCATTATGGGGTATTGTTTGTAGAATGTTGAGGAAAAAATGAATTGAATCCATTTTGGAATAAGACTGTAACATAACAAAATGTGGCATAAGGTAAGCGCTGTGAATACTTTCTGGATGAACTGTACATGCAACGGTGAAAGAAGCGGCTTTGGATGAAGCAAAAAAAAAAAAATAGAAAAATTGAGAGTGGCAGGATCCCCCAAATAATTAATGAGAAGCATCTGAAGCAGGAGCCTAGTAGCTGCTGCTTATCCAAGACTGATCCATTTTGGTGAATGTCAGCCAGTCAACAGTGTCCATTGACAGAGGCACTATTTTTTTCAGTCACAAAACCCCAGAGAGCATGTTGGCTGAGGGATAGCCAGCAGCTCAATTGTACAACTGTGCAAGCTCTGGCCATTGGTCCATCCTCATGACCCAGTAGTTAACGGGGTCATCCAATTAGACAGCCTCTGTAACTACTCTTGCTCTCAGATAATCATCCACCATGTGATGCAGCAGCTGCTGATAGGTACTGGCAGCAGACAAATCTCATGGCCAGTGGTCCATCCTCATGACCCAGTAGTAAATGGAGTCATTCATTCAGAGATTCTCTGTATCCATTCTTGCCCTCAGATAATCATCCACCATGTGATACAGTAGCTGCTATAGGTACTGGCAGCAGGCAACCCTGGGATCTGAAGACTAAAAACTTTTTTTAAAGGAGTTTCTCAGGCAACCACCCCACTGCCGCTCCTTCTTTTACTGACAGAAAGACTCTAAGACACTTTTCCCCTGACACTTTATTCTGTAAGCCTCTGGAATTTATTATTCTGTAGTATATCCTCCAGATGTTTCCTCCTCTGCCCCCTCTGAGTGCAGGATAAGTTACGCAACTTTCCCTTAACGTGGATCAAAGAAGGTTACCAACCCTTGCCCTGTTACCAGCCCTTTCACAGGCTCTGGAGCATGAGGGAGCCCATTTTCTTCAAATTACTGGAGGCCGAGGAACCTGAGTCCTCATTGTTGCTGTAGATGATGTTATCCTCAGCTACCTACCCAAGGCACATACAACTTCTGGGGTTTGGAAGGCATGAAACCTACCCCTGGAAGAATTAAATTAGTGATAAGAAAGTGTCATCCCATAAACTGAGTGACTAAAACCAACACAACCCAAACCCAAGGCAGCTGCCCCTCTAAGTGTAAAATGACACTTTATATATATGTGAACAGATCAATAAAAGTAGGCGCTGGCCCTTCCCAATAAGAGTTTGTGGCTAATCCCAATAAAACTTCACTTTTTTTGTGTCATACCAATGAAAGCAAAATAAATAAACATGAGAATGCCTAAAAATTTATATTTGCAACAATTTTCTGGGCCAAGCATTATCTGATAGAACTGCAGGGGTGCCAATATTTTTGGCCATGACTGTACTTGGCTAAACACAAGATCTGATATCAAATGCTTACTGGCTACTTTGTTGGCCAATGTGATCTGGTGAGAACACATTGGTGGAGCACTGCTGGTTTTAAAAGAAGAATGTATCACTTTTAGAGATGAGCGAATTATTCAAAAATTCGATTCGGCTGATTCGGCGAAATCGTGGAATAAATTTGATTCGAGTCGAATATATTCGCTGCGAATTTAACTTATAAAAAGGGTGTTTCTAGGCTTCAGAGAGCCTTTATATTAGTGCAGAACACTGTACCTTTAATTTAAATGCCCTTGGAGTCTGCTGGGGAAGAGAAATAATACTGTCAGTCAGTATGACATGCAGATGAGTGCCGTCGATCTTAGAATCACCGCACACTTCACTCATTTGGGCAGTCACGGGGCCAAAAACCAGAGTGTGGAGCCACAGTGTGGCGGTGGAGGCAGCAGCAATGGGAGGCCATACAGCACCCTATGACAAAAATGGAAACCACCAGCAGTGTGAGGAGACCTGAAAGTGGCACATGGCAGAGTGTGGCGATGGAGACAGCAGCAATGGGAGGCCGTACAGGGACCCATGATACACTCTGAACCTGGCAGCAGCATGAGGAGGCGGTACAGGGGCCCATGACAGATTACGGGCCTGGCAGCAGCATGAGGAGTCGGTACGGGGGCCCATGGCAGATTACGGGCCTGGCAGCAGCAATGGGAGGCCGTACAGGGACGCAGATTGACACACTCTGGACCTGGCAGCAGCATGAGGAGACGGTACAGGGGCCCATGACAGATTACGGGCCTGGCAGCAGCATGAGGAGTCGGTACGGGGGCCCATGGCAGATTACGGGCCTGGCAGCAGCAATGGGAGGCCGTACAGGGACCCATGACACACTCATGGAGCTGGCAGCAGCATGAGGAGGCGGTACAGGGGCCCATGACAGATTACGGGCCTGGCAGCAGCATGAGGAGTCGGTACGGGGGGGCCCATGGCAGATTACGGGCCTGGCAGCAGAAATGGGAGGCCATACAGCACCCTATGACAAAATGGAACCCACCAGCAGTGTGAGGAGACCTGGAAAGTGGCACATGGCAGAGTGTGGCGATGGAGACAGCAGCAATGGGAGGCCGTACAGGGACCCATGACACACTCTGGACCTGGCAGCAGCATGAGGAGGCGGTACAGGGGCCCATGACAGATTACATGGGCCTGGCAGCATCATGAGGAGTCGGTACGGGGGGCCCATGGCAGATTACGGGCCTGGGCAGCAGCAATGGGAGGCCCGTAATCTGCCAGCACAATATGACAAAATGGAACCCACCAGCAGTGTGAGGAGACCTGAAAGTGGCACATGGCAGAGTGTGGCGATGGAGACAGCAGCAATGGGAGGCCGTACAGGGACCCATGACACACTCTGGACCTGGCAGCAGCATGAGGAGGCGGTACAGGGGCCCATGACAGATTACGGGCCTGGCAGCAGCATGAGGAGTCGGTACGGGGGCCCATGGCAGATTACGGGCCTGGCAGCAGCAATGGGAGGCCGTACAGCACCCTATGACAAAATGGAACCCAGCAGCAGTGTGAGGAGACCTGAAAGTGGCACATGGCAGAGTGTACGGGT